ATTCCTCTTCAGACTCATGCAACACATGCAATGACACAATGCAGGAAGATCACAGGCCAGTGGGTGAAAAGTCTTATGGATCCAGTGGTGGTGGAAGCATCTCAGTGCTGGCGGGAGGTCTCCACATGACTCCTCCAGCTCCAGGGCTCTGGCTCCATCAGCTTAGTTCCATGTGTCTTGTCAGCAGGAATGTCAAGCAGAGTGTGGGTCAGACCTCCAATGAGCTATTTATCTCTGTAGTACCTCCAAATGAGGTCTTCAAGCTGCAACCTGATCGACAGGCTAAACTCCACCTCTTCACTCTTAATAATCCGAAGTTGACACCAGATTATGTAACTACCACAGAAGTATAGGGAGAAAAATAATCCCCCACATTCTTTATATTAACATGAGGCTTCTGCTATATATCTGCTCTTGGGTTTATAAAAAGATGAATGAAACCCATTCAAAAGGCCACTTTGATGTATACTGTTACTCTCCACTGTACCTACTCATATATATATGTTCCGAACGATGAGGAACATCTGAAAATTTCCCCTATATCCCTTATATTTATAAAGACTCCACTGTGGGGGCTTGGGCAGAGGCACTGTGGGGCAACTTGCGTATTGCATAAGCTGCTCCGGGAGGTGGGCTTTGGCTTGTCTGCTCTGGGTTGGTGGTCTTCCTACCAGGATTCCGTGGAGCTGAGCCCCTGGCTCCCGAGGGCCCAGGAAGGCATTGACAGGCTGACTATATGAGTTGCAGGAAAGCCACCAGCAGCTGGTCCCTGATCAGTCAACAGGCGAAGCACATGAAAACCAGGACCTGAGAAGGAAGGTGGACGCCAAGGAGGGGCTAGCACCGGACCTAATGATTGATGACTTTGAGAGTGGGCATCCGCTAGGCAAGGGGAAATTTGGCAATGGGTACCTGGCTCGGCTCAGGAAGAATGGCTTCCTTGTGGCCCTCAAGGTCCTCTTCAAGTCACAGATAGAGAAGGAAGGGCTGGAGCATCAGCTGCGCTGGAAATTGAAATCCAGGCCCATCTACAACACCCCAATATCCTGCCTCTCTATAACTATTTCCACGACGCTCGGCAGGTGTACCTGATTCTGGAATATGCCCCAAGGGACGAGCTCTACAAGGAGCTGAACACATATACAGATTCGATGCGCAGAGCACAGCCACGGAGAAAGACAGTGTGTGGGACTCTGGACTACTTGCTCCCAGAGATGATCAAGGGGCGCGCGTACAAGAGAGTGCATCTGTGGTGCATTGGGGTGCTGTGCTATGAGCTGCTGGTGGACAGTCCTCCTTTTGAGAGCCCCACCCCCACCGAGACCTACGAACGCATCCTCAAGGTGGACATGCGTTTCCCCACCCCACCCCTCCATGCCTGCTGGGGCCCAGGACCTCATCTCCAAGCTGCTCAGTATATCATCCCTTGGAGCGAATGGCCCTGGCCCAGATTCTGAAGCACCCTTGGGTCCAGGCACACTCCCAGAGGGTGTTGCCTCCCACAACTCATATGGTTTCCTGAGCCCAGTCGACCCTGTTTCTTGGTTTGAAGGGCTACCTGGCTCTGCTACCTCACCTGTCTTTTGTGTTTTATGCTGTAAGATACTAATTAATAAAAGTGGACTCATTTTGCACCAGAAAAAAAGACTCCACTATGAATTAGTATGTTTACAGGAGAATAATAAGTACTTTCCCAGATTCCTTGCATTCATAAGTTCTCTGTATACTGAGTTCTGAAAGGGAGAGCAAGTAGAGCCACACAATCCTTATGTTTATCAGGTAGCTAAACATCTTAAGTACTGTGTGTGTGTAGGGAGTTTTGAAGACTGATGAAAGCCTTTACCAAATTGCCTATACTCACTACAATGTGAATTGTTAAATGGTGAGATGTACCAACTGATTAAATGGTTCCCTACGTTTTTGACATTCATAAGGCTTCTCTCTACTGTGAATTTTTTTTTCTAGTTAGGGAGGTTTGAGAAGTGACTAAAGGCTGGTCCATATGGTTTATATTTAGGCTTGCTCTCTACTGTGCTTTATTTTTCTCCCTAGAGTTTATCTTGTTGTTGAGAATATCCACAGCAAAACATACATCAATTCAACAGTATCTGGATTTATAATACATTGGTACGGATTATATTTTTTCAGTGTGCAACCACACTCACTCTCCTTTTCTGAAGTTTTACTCTCTCATTAACATGAACTCACTGCCCTCTACATTGACTGGATGGCAATGAGTTTAGGATGGGGGATGCAGGGGAGGTTGCATTGTTTGGTTTTTAGAAGACTTCAGGAAAATTTTTGGTTTAAGGTATAAAGACTATCTCAGGGCCATAGTTTCGTGGCTTCATCCATCCTCCATGGTTCTATGTTTATAGTCATAAAGGTTGAAAGTGTGAGGCCATGAGAATTTGAAGTTCTACCTTTTGATCAGGATTTTCCCTTTTGAAAGCAGAATTCTTCTATGGAATCTCATCAAAATGTTCAGCAGTGGTACCAAGGCACTATGCAGTCCTTGTGTTCTCACAACAAGGATGCAATTGTTCTTAGAGAAAATTAGGGACATATTACACATCCTCTATATTTCCTTATTTCTGACCCTACTTCCTCTGTTGCTCCAGATGAATAGATCAATTGTCATGCCTTGGATGGTTGCTTGCAAGTATTTCAAATCACAATGAATTCAAAGAACGAACAGAAACATTAAACACATTATTAGACCACTTAACTTTGATGGCTAATGAAACCACAACCCTAACATTTCAAACCAAGGAATTGATTTCCATTAGGTATTTGGTTGTATATACGCAGTCTCAGGTATTCTTTTTTGTTTTATTCCTCCTAAATCCACTGTGAATCCTCATATGTGTGCTAAGAGAAAAGGAATAAGGAAAGCGTTTCCCACAGTCTTTACATTCATAAGGCTTCTCTCCAGTATGAATTCTTAAATGTTTAGTGAGGGATGTGGAGCAAGTAAATGTTTTCCCACATTCTTTACACTGATAAGGCTTCTCTCCAGTGTGAGTCCTAATATGTTTGGTGAGGTTTGAAGATCGAGTAAAGGCTTTCCCACATTCCTTACATTCATAAGGCCTCTCTCCACTGTGAGTTCTTATATGTACAGTGAGTGATGCAGAACAGTTAAAGACTCTCCCACATTCCTTACATTCAAATGGCATCTCTCCACTGTGGATTCTTTTATGTTTATTGAAGGATGAGGAATGGCTGAAGGATTTCCCACATTCCTTACATTCATAAGGTTTCTCTCCTGTGTGAATTCTTAAATGTGTAGTGAGGTGTGAATACTGATGAAAGACTCTCTCACATTGTTGACATTCATATGACCTCTTTCCACTGTGACATCTTATTTGTTTCATGAGTCTTGGGGACTGACTTGATTCAGCAAATTCTGTAGGTTTCAAAGGTGTCTCTGCAGTGTAATTTCTCATGTGATCAGTGAGGTATGAAGCACAACTAAAGACTTTCAAACATTCTTTACATTCATAAGACTGCTTTCCACTTTGGAATTTCTGATGTAAACTGATGGATGAAGGGTGAGTTTTCCATTTTTTATACTTGCACTTATGAGTGCTCATATGTCTCCTAAATGATGATGAATTAGAGAAATCTTCACCACATTCATTACATTCATAGAGTTTTTCTGAAGTGTGTGTTGTCTTAGGATTTTCAGCAGTTGAGATACAAATGAAACCTTTCCCACATTCCTTGCATTTGCAGGGCTTCTCTCCAGTAAGAGTTCTCACAGAACTGCTTCGGTAGGAGGGACCACTATATGCTTCTCCACACTTTTTAGCATGACAGGCACTGTATCCAGTATGAGATCTGATTTGATGCTTATGTGATGAAGGATCGATGATGGCTTTTCCATACACACGGCATTCAGAAAGATTCAATTCAGGAATAGTTTTGAGCCTGGTATGAGCTGGATTCTGGCTGAATGTTTCCCCACACTGACGGCCTTGATTATTTTCACAAGAGTTCTTGCCAATAGGCCTCCTGTTTTAAAAAAAAGGGGGCAACATACTGTTGGAAATACATTTGCTACCATCTCACCATTACAAACACAATGAAAATATCTATTCTGCTCTGAGTTTTACCATACTTTATGGGAGGAATTGTGTAGTACAGATGCTACCCGTACTGACAATATTTCTGAAATATGAGCCTGATAATTGTGCATAGTGAGTGCAATGTTTTAAATATGGCCTCCGATTCATATTTCTGAAACTATATTGTAAAAATCATCTAAGCTCCAAATTCTAGAGGTAGTTCAAAATCTCTATCTACCTACATACCTATCTATACACAGTGACACCTGTAGAGGTGTTACTTGGGAGAACAACCTAGTGTTTCTGTCTTGAAAGTTTTCTACCTTTAACATAATGAAATCTTATATTCATTAGGCTACTCTAGCAGTTCTCAACCTGTAGGTCACAACTCATTTGGGGATCAAATGACCCTTTCACAGGGGTCGCC